AGACTTCTAATATTTTTGGAGAATTAGACTAGAACATCCTCACTCTAGAATTCCCTAAATCTATGATTTGGGAAATTTAAAAATCTAGGGTTCAAGTAGTTTGAGACTCTAGAATTCTCTGAACTAAAATTTGGTGATTTTAAGAATCTGGAATATTAGCATTCTGGGGTACTAAACCCACAAAATTCTAGAAATGTATGAATATAACCTTCTAGAATTTTTTTGCTTCAAGATTCTAGAATTCTACAAATCACAGTATTCTAGGAATGGTGAATCAAAGATTGTAGGACCATGAGCATCTATGGCCGATGAATCTAGCCAGAACCTTCTGAATCTAAGATTCTAGTATTTTTCTACTCATCCAGGACAGCTACTGAGCACTTGAATTGTGGTTGTTCCAAACTGAGAGGCATCATTTGTGCAAAGGACATGTCCAATTTCAAAGGCCCAGACAAAAAAGAGGAAGTTATGGAATTTATAGATATTTAAGCATTAAGTACATATTAAAATAACATTCTTTTGCGTATATTAAAATTATCTTTTCTTGTTTCTCTTTTTCAACGCGTGTACTAGAAAACTAAAACTTACATGGCTACATTCTATTTCATTGGCAGAGCTGCTCTGGACGTGTAAGAGTCTAACAGTGTCTGAATCTATGGATTCTAGAATTCTCTGAGGTTATCTTGAGATTCCGAGATTTAGTAGTCTAAGATTCTGGATTTCTCTGGGTCAGAGTCTAAGATTCTAAGAGAGTAAATTTTGAATCTGAGGCTCTTAGAATCTGATTATATAAAACTAGACTTAGGAAAGTTGGCTCTGTGATTCTGAGTTGAGCTTCTGGGAACAGAAACAGAGGCTCAGCCTTCTTGCCTACAGCTCCCTCCTTTTTCTACCAGAGACCCTTGCCCCTGCCTCACCCTCCCTTTATCCCCACCCCCTCCCCAGAGTGGTCACTCACGGCTTGTGGCAGTGGGCAGCTGTGAGCAGCCAGCGGTCACTGATGAGAGTGGCCCCACAGAAGAGGTGGGTGCGATAGAAGAGACCGGCCTGCCAGGGCTGGGAGTGGGGGTCGCATTCCTTAGCCCCGATGGCTCTGGTGTCTGCCCAGCTGCTCCCTAGGGACAGAGGGGAGGCAGAGGGGTCAACAAGGAGCAAGGTGGGAGGGCTGGGGAGAGATGCTGAGGGCAGGAACAGAAGGCCGAGGGTGCAAAAGGCAAGCTGCAGAGGCTGCTGGGGCCAGAGAGGAGCAACAGGATGGGTAGGAAGGACACCGGAGCCTCACCTGCCAGGAGAGAAAGCAGTGCACAAACAAATCCCAGCTTCATGACCTCTGGGTGCCTGGGTCCTGGGTCCCGGCTCTGACATCCCTGCTTCTTTAAGGTAAGCCATGTCATCTCCTTCCTCCTCCCTGGGGCCACCCTGTGATTAATCAGGGTTGAGAAATGTTACTGGGGGAGGAGGAAGCCCTGGGGCCTTGCCTGGAAACAAATCTTGAGAAGCGAGGCCATACGGGGAGACCCTCTGGCAGGGAAATATGGCTGCCTGCTGGGTCAGGGCTTGGCTAACTGGGGCAGGGGGCCTAGGATGTAGAATTTTCCTTGGGTATCTCCAAAAAGAGAGGACCCCCCTCCATGCAGGATCTAGATACAGGATAATCTGTGGCCAGGAGTGGGAAGAGGGTGAGGAGGAAAACCCCTAAGGTCAGACCCTGAGGTGGAAGCAAGTTTATCTTGAATGCAGCTGTGGTGAGCTGGGACCAATGTATAGGAGCAATGCCCAGAAATCAGGATAGAGGAGGGAGAGAGAACTGGGACTCAGAAGGAAGAAGCCACACAGGCAGGCAGGATGGTGGTGAGATGGGGAAAGAGAAAGAGATAAAAGAGAGATGGAGATAGAGACACACAATGATGGCTGAGAAATGTGACCCCAACTGGAGGAAACCACACTTGTAAACTATTGCCTTCTTCACATCCTCAGCACCACAAAGACCCAGGCGGCTAACCTGCCTAAAACTCAGCACTTTTCCCTTTGTCTTATTACCACCAGATCGTGGCTAAGTCTGGAGAACATTTTCTTGTTTTTTTTTTTCACCCATCTTCTCCCCTCCATTTTCCTTCCCACCATCCCATTCTTGCTGTCTCTTCCCCCATCCCCCCTCATTGGGTGGGCAGCCCCGGAAGGGCCAAGCCCAGATCTGACTCATCTCTGAGTCCCCAGAATCACCCCGTTCAGCTGGGCTCAGGTGGGAGGTTTCAGAATATGTTAATTGAATGAGTGAATGTCCTTCTCAAGATCCTTCTCTTCTGGGTAAACTCCTACTCATCCTTCATGACCCAACTTCAATGCCCCCTCCTTCAGGAAGACTTCTCTGATTTCTTCAAGCAAAGTCCACCTTTTCCTCCCCTGAGCACTCATGATCTTTTCCAGCTGCCCCAAGCCTGAGTAACAAGCTGGGTCTGGGCTCCCTTTGAATGCATCCTCACAATGCTGTTGCAGTTTGGATCATGCATCCTGGACCCCAACTAAATGGGTCCAAATCTCAATGCTGGCAATTATGAGGTGTGTGAACTTGAGCTTCTCCCCATCACTTCACCTGTTAAGTAGCAATAGTAACCAGGGTTGTAGGGGGATTACTCAATTTACACTATTAAGCCCAACAGTGTCTGGCACATGGCATGCATTCAGAAAATATATGTCTAACTGTGTCCTACAGAGGCCTTCCATGACTGGAGTTGTCTCATTTCCACTCTGGGCAAGAAGTCTTGAGACTAAGGACTGAATATCTACTATGTGCTAAGTGCCACACTAACTGCTCTTACAGACATCTTAATGGCTACCTTTATTGACTGTTTACTCTGCACCTGGTGATATTGATAGGTAAGCATTTCATGTAAACTATCTCACTTACTTCTCACAAGAGTCTTTTCCATATGCACTTCCCAGGAAGGGGTGGGGAGAAATGGAGGTAGAGCATTCAAATAATTTTCTCAAGGTCATACAATGAGTGATAGAAATACATTTTGTTCTGTAACTGGTGAACTCTGACTGACCTGCATTTTGCCATGTATAATGTGCACCCACATTTTTGACTCAAGCTTTCCAGAAAGAAAAACCCAACCAACTTTCATTTTAATTTCTTAATTCAATTATATATTTTTTAAAGATTTCATTTATTCATTTTTAGAGAGATGGGAAGGGAGGAAGAAAGAGAGGGAGAGAAACATTGATGCGTGAGAGATACATTGACTGGTTGCCTTTTGTAACAATGCCCCCAACCAGGGGCCTGACCCACAACCCAGGCATGTGCCCTGACTGGGAATCGAACTGGTGACCCTTTGATTTGCAGGCTGGCACTCAGTCCACCGAGACACACCAGGTAGGGCTTAATTCAATTATTTATTTATTTATTTATTTATATGTAGGTACTTGATTTTTGTAACTTGAGCATTTGTTTGTGAACACATTATGGCACAAGAAATCTTATGTAACAAGTAACTACAGAACACAAGAAGAGATACAAGGTATTTTAGGCACTAGCCACGTATAAGGTGCATCCTTATTTTTCCCTCAAACATTTGGGGTGGGGGGAGTGCGCATTACACACGGCAACATACGGTATCCTGTAAAACCCCATGCACCACCTCCTCATCTGAGAAGACTTCCCTGGCTCCTTTGGGAAGAGTCTTTGCCCCCGCCTTGGGGCGCACTGTACTTTTTTCTGTTATAGCTTTGATCAGTTTGTTATTCTCCATTCAACACTGTATTGAGTGGCTTCTGTGTCAAGGCGCTGTCCCAGGCGCTTAAAAAACCACAGCGAATAAATTGGGTCCCTGCCCTCATGGACTGAATGGGAGGAGGGAGGGCGCAGATTATTATGGAGTACACAAATAAATGAGACTGGTTCAGCTATAACAAGTGCTGCAAAGGAAATAAAGAAAGCGATGAACGAGTGACTTGGGGGGAACGCCTTTTGCAAGGGCAATTCTGGAAGGCCTCCTTGAGGAGGTGACCTTTGAGTGGAGACCTGAATGCCAAGAATGTAAGGCATGCCTGTCACCTTGACCTGACCAGCAGCTCCCCGAGGGCCCGGCCCAGTGTGATGTGCCTCACTGATGTTTCCGGGGTGTGCTGATGGGAGTGGGGGAGGAGTCATTGGAGGGGGGCCTGTGCAACAGTCTTCCATAGTCTGTGAGGGCAGGGACCTGGGACTCACCACTGTGTTGCCAGCTTCACATGGGGCCTACCATATAATAAATGCTCAATAAATTGGTGTTTGAAAGGGAAAACAAGAACAACCTGTGCTGGATGGAAGATTTCTCTTGCAATCATATTCAGCTTACATTACCACTCCAAAATCCAGGCTAACTGGAGTTTCAGAGAGAGGAAAAGAACCCATTTGCCCACATTTTCAGAGCCAAATCTCAAAGACAATTGGAGAGGGGGTTGGGGATGGAGTCAGACCTGAGTTACAAGCCTTGGGTGAGGAACAAGGATGGAGACGTGGTGGGGTGGGATTGTAGCTCTCGGCTGGTGAGGGGACGCAGCTGGACCTAATGGCTGGGCAGGAAAATTCCCCCTGAATTTCAGAGGGCTCCTTTGCACAAACCTATCAACCGAGGTGAGGAGGGCTCCCCTGATCCCAGAGGCTGGGGTGGGCGCGGGGTGAGTGAGGTCTCTCGGGTTCCAGCGGCCCCAGGACGGCAAAGGTACCAGGTGACTCAAGCCGCCCGGCTCCTGCTGGTACTGGAGGAACTGGTGTTGGGTGGACCCGGACATGGGAAACAGTGGGAAGGAGGGAGGAAGTGGCTCAGAGGTGCTTCACAGAACGTTGGAGGCGGGGCGGACAGAGTGATTTTCCCATCAGCCCCCAGGAATGGAGCTGGGGATGGTGTGAGGGTGGGGAGGGAGGGTGGGAAACTTCCCCCGCACTTTTCTCCCCAGCACACAGAGTCATACACGTCTTACCAGGACCTGTTCACACATCGTGACAACAAGCGACGTTTCGTCACAGCGCACCGCCCATGGTGCTGATGCTTTACTGGGAATTACCATAATGATACACACACACACGGGTTATATCAGTCTCCTTACGACCATCTATGAGGTAGGCACTTCTGTGTCCCCACTCTCCACGGGAGGGAGGAAACGGAGGTCCGGAGAGCTCTTTGGCTTGTCGTGCCCGAGGTCACGAGGCAGGGGACAGTAGAGGAAGCCCAGGTGGGTGACTGATGACTCCGCTCAGAGAATGGCTGACTGCCAGCTCCCTTGCCTCTCTCGAATGGAACTTGGCCTCCACCTCCTGTGCTCCGGCTTCAGCGTGGGCAGAGAAGAGCAGTGGGCAGGAAGATGGGGGAAGAGGAGAGAAGTCCGCAGGTAAAGGTGGGCGGCAGGGGAGACCGGGCAGGAAGCATGGCAGAGGGTGAAGGCACCACGGCACCACTGCGTCAGTGGGAGCGAATGGTTTTCTCAATCCAGGAGGTGTATTTGCAGATCTGCGTGTAGACAGCCGGGTGCTGAGCAGAGCCGCAGGGGTACACACCCCAGGAAAGAATGCCTTGCAGGGTCTCATCACAGACCAGAGGGCCACCAGAGTCACTCTGCAGGGAGGAGGAAGGAGAGATCCAATGAATACGCCCACGTGAGGGCTGCCACTGGGGGGTTCTGAGGTAGTAATGGGGAGGGAGGGGTCAGAATTAGGTATGAAGTGGGGTGCGATGTGGTGGAGTTGGACTTGGGTTATGGGTGTTGGCTTGAGCAATGAGAATGGAGATGTGATGGAGCTGAGATTCTAGCACCTGGCAGGAGAGGGGATGGAGATGGATCTGCAGAGAGAGGGGGAGGGGCTGGGGGCTCAGGAATGGCGTGATGAGGGGAATGAGGCTCAGGATGGCATGGGAAGGAGGTAGGGCTGAGGACAGGTTTGGGCATGAGAAGATGGGCTGAAGGAGGCAAAGTTGGACTTGGAGACATGAATGAAAAAGGGGCTATGTATGCCCTGGCTGGTGTAGCTCAGCGGATTGAGCATCAGCCTCCAAACCAAAGAGTCGCCGGTTCAATTCTCAGTCAGGGCACATGCCTGGGTTGCAGACCAAGTCCCCAGTAGGGGGTGCAGGAGAGGTGACCACACATTGATGTTTCTCTCCCTCTCTTTCTCTCTCCCTTCCCCTCTCTAAAAATAAATAAATAAAAATCTTTTAAAAAGAAGAAGGGGCTATGTAAGGCTAGAGTAACCACATAGCATGGTCTGATGACTGACCCTTAACTGGGCAGGTCATGGCCAGTAGTCACATCCGAGACCCACATCAGCCTTAGCAAAGGCTAGTCTTTATCTTCATCAAACACTGCCCAAATTCCTATGCATCTAGGATAACATGTCTTTGAAATGTGAGAGAATCTACTTTTCCAAAACCCTCAGAAGTACAATAGTGGGCAGCAGATCAAGACCACAGAAGCCCTGGTTGTCCTGTGGCCCGCATACCCTCTCTGTACCATGTACTGTACATGTCAGAGGTCAGCCTGGACCCACCAAGGTCAAAGCAGCATGTAACTCCCCACATTACTTTGGGTTTGGTCTAGAGATTTCCCAGCTTCACTTTCTTCTGCCTCCCCTAATTGACCACCAGTGGACTTCATGAAACCTGCTTACATCTCACCTTTGATTCTGAATGTATTAAATAAACTGGGAGCCCTGGCTGGTGTGGCTCAGTGGATTGAGTGCCGGCCTGAAAACCAAAGGGTCACTAGTTCCATCCCCAGTCAGGGCACATGCCTGGGTTGTGGGCCAGGTCCCCAGTAGGGGGCGTGCAACCACACATTGATGTTTCTCTCCCTTTCTTTTTCCCTCTCTGAAAATAAATAAATAAAATCTTTTAAAAAGAAAAATAAATAAACTGGGAAACTTCTATTCTTCAGAGCATTTTTTTTTCAATCTGTTGAGATCTCACTTCCAGGCATATCCTCAAAATTTTGACTCAAATAACATTTCTATATAGGTCTGGACATACTGCTGTGGACGGGGATGAGGCTGGGGTAGGGATGGGATAGTGCTGGACATGCGGGTGATGTCTGCCTGGGGTGGCTATAGGGCTGGGGACAAGGATGGGATCACCTGCCTTCCCATCACCTGCCTATGCTCATCCCACAAGTCAGAGACCCTACCTGGGTGGTCCCTACCTGGCAGGGGTCCTGGCCCTGGTCCAGTCCCGCACACATCATGTTGTTGCTGACGACACCAGGGTAGAAGACGTCACACTCTCGGCGGCTCAGGATAGTGACTCTGGAGCAGCTCAGGCCCTTGTTGTACTTCACTAATGGGAGAAAACACCAGGCTGTCCGGGGTTCCAGCCCCAGTGCTCCAGGACCCAGGAGTCCAGACACCCAGACTGTTCCCACCCCAGGCCCCCAGCCCCTCCTCCCTCAGACCCAGGGGTCCAGGCCCCCAGTCCCTTCCCCCTCAGATCCAGGGGTCCAGTCCCCCAGCCCCTCCTCCCTCAGACCCAGGGGTCCAGGCCCCCAGCCCCTCCTCCCTCAGACCCAGGGGTCCAGGCCCCCAGGCCTTCCTCCCTCAGAACTAGGAGTCTTGACCCCCAGCCCCTCTTGCCCGAGATACAAGGCCCCGAGCTCTTGCCTCTTCGTGCAGCTGTGGTGCCCCAGCCAGCGACCTGGCACTCCTCCCCGGCCTGGGCACAGCTGCGGGGCAGGCGCAGGGCCTGGATGCGAGAGCTGAGCACAGCAGGCCTGCCCAGCTTCAGCAGCATGAGATCATGCTCATCTGTCCGCCTTGGCAGGATGGGGCCAGAGCCGTGCTGGTACTTGGGGTGCACAACGGAGAGCGTGGTTCTGCGGAGCTGCTCTCCCTGGAGCAGCAGCAGGTGGTCATCCCCAACTCGAGCCCACAGTTGCCTGGGGAGGGAAGAGCCGTCTGGAGGCAAAGCCTTTGCAGAGACTAAAATTGGATAGAGTCCCTGGGGAGGCTGGTACAGGCATTGGAGTAGGGTAGACACCTGGATCCCTGAAGGGGGCTGGGGATCCTGGGTTGGGGGGCAGAGGGGACTGGGGGCACAGACTCCTAGGCCCGAAGTAACAGTGAGTGGAGGAGAGGAGAGCCAAGCACCTGAATTCTTTGGACATGGGAAGGAACCATGAGGTGTTTGGGTCCCTGACTTCCGTGGGGCGGGGGGTGTCTCCCTGGGCAAGCCTGTCCTTTCCCGCCTCCCTCAGGGATTCATGAGATGAATAATTTCTTTTAGTTCTAAATTCCTAACCACACCAGACCTTGACTTCTGTCTGCTGCGCTCAACTATCTACACTTAAATGGAATACAAGCAGAATCAGGATGCGCCTGGAAAAGCTAAGAAGGATCACACCTCCCCCTGGCGGCCACAGCACAGCCCCACCTTTCCTCCTGCAGAAAGCCCTGCAGAACGGACCCCCACCGGGCTGGGACAATTCCGGACCCCCTCAAGTCCAGCCCCATCCGACCCCCACCCTTCCCGCCCACCTCGAGGCCAGCTTCCACAGAGGCCTCGTGGCATCCCCGAGGCGCTCCCCTACTTTTTGTTTCCACAGTGCGCGGCCGTAAGCACCCAGCTCTTGTCCACCAGGACACCGGCGCAGTGGAACGAGAGGCCGTTGAAGAGGGAGACCTGCCAGGGCTGCGAGCCGCGCGCGCACGGGGCGCCAAAGGCTTCGGGGTCCAAAGCCGTGTCGTTTCTGGAGAACGCCGCGTCATTTCTGGAGAGCGCCGCCTCTGCAGCTGGAGGAAGGAGGTGGCCATCAGGGCAGGCAGGGCAGGGCAAAGGCTGGGTTTGGGGTCAGTGTGTGGCCTTGGGACGGAGCAGGGGGTAGGAGGGAGGAAGGTGCGCAGCCAAAACCCGGGAGAAAGCGGAAAATGGGGAAGGGAGAAGGGTCTTGCTGGAACCTTTTGGAAGCCAACGAGGAAAAAGGGCGTGAAAGGGGAAGAAGGTGGGGACGGGTGGAGTGGAGAAATGGGACCCAACTGGGTGGGCCTGGAGGGGCGGGGATAGAACGCTGGGCCAGGTAGGTGAGGAGTAGGTGTGGGATTAACGCAAAGTGATGGAAAAGGGGGCTAAGACAAAAAACTGTAAGGAAAGACTTGGGATAAAATAGGGCGGAGTAAGAAAGGACCAGGACAAAACGGAACGGAGTGAGGGGGCAGGATTAGCGAATGGTGAAGTAAGAGGCGAGGAAAGGAGGCCGAGTAGGAAAAGTGGGATAGTGGATCCGCGCGCGCGCGCGGCCTGGGCTGAGGCGCAGCATCCCCGGCGGAGCGAGACAAGGGGCGTGGCAGACTTGGGGCGGGGCCTACTCCGGGCAGGTAGGTGGGTGGGTGTTGGGGTCCCAAGCGCTAGAGCGGAGTGCAGAGGTTGGTGGTGAGAGCTCACTCTCGCCTTGTCCCAGGTCTCCGCGCCTTCCGCCAAGCCCTAACAGCCGCCTCACCCCAGAGTTGCGCCATCAGCAGCGGCAGCAGCAGCTTCGCCTGGGCCAGGGCGCCAGAGGCGGCAGAAAGGTGGAGTTGTGGGGGTCTCATGGCCGGGACCTGGGCTTGAGGGGCGAGGAGCAAGTTAAAATAGGTTCTAACCAAGACCCTCATCCCGCTGTGCCCTCCCGCTTAGCCTGGGCCACCCCAGCCCGCGGGGACTGTGTAACCTGCGGCCCACGACCTCAGGGCGGGCCGACTGGCGATTCCAGCTGAAACAGCGGTAAGGGGCGCAATTATCCTAATGATGCCCCTGGCTGCGTCCTCCCGCCCTCCCTGAGCCGAAGGGAGCGCCCTCCCTCCTGGCTGGTATTGCCCCGCTGCTAGCCTCTTGGTGCATGGGGTTTCACCCTTCTGCACAAGTAGGGTAGGGGTCTAAAGGGAAATCGAGGCTCAAGCAGAGCTCCTGCCCGCGATTTGAGGATCCCCAACCATAGCGATGTGCGTTCCGCCTCACCTGAGAGTCACCAAAAGGAAGGAGGGAGGGGACTCCCAAGGACCTTTACCCTGCCTTGTAGGCTGCCAGGATCCTCTGCCCAGGGACCCCTGGCCAGGCCTTCCCTTTTAACCTCACACAGCCCGGAAACTACCCCACCCTCCCTCCAGGGCCTCACCCCCACCTTTTCCCTCTCCCTAATTATTACCGTGGGTGCGGCTGGCACCCAGCCTGGGCCCCAGATTCCTGTTCTGGGAGCGGCCAGGGAATACAGCCTTCTCCCATTGCTCGAAACACCCTTTTTGGAGCTGGGCTTCATTTAGGATGTCCCTAGGTCTCTCGCTTCAAGAAATCTCTCCAGGTGGGGAGAGAGGGTGCCCAGGGAGCCCGAGGGTGGCGGGCACAGTGTCTCCCAGGGAGAGAGGTGATCATGAGCAAAAGAGAAGAAGATAAACAGGGAAATGCATACCTGGAGTGATCCCGTAAGAAAAGCCAGGAGGCTGCCAGGGAGGGAGGGAGGCAGAGAGACAGGAGAGATTGAAGGAAACAGTGGGGGCCACAGAGACAGATACCCAGAAACAGAGAGAGGAAGATGGGGAGGCAAAGGAGGAGAAGGAGGCAGAGACGGAGGCGCAGAGGGATGCTCTGGGCTTGAGTCCAGCCCCACAGGCAGAGCGGTGGGCTCGGCCACTGTGTGCCCCAGGGACCAGGGGACCAGCCCCCATGTGTGTTGCGGGGGAGGTTCCATGTCATCCCCGTGTGTGGTCACTGCACATCCTCCCTGTCATCTGTGTGTCTTCAGGTGACATGCAGGCCCATGAGTCATAGGAAGCTACAAGAGGAGTCATCAGCTCCTCAGCTGACTTCCTCATTTCAGGTGAGGAATGGGAGACTCAGAGAGGGCAGTGCCTCATGGGAAGTCACAGAGCAAGTCCACCTAACAAGCAGGAGGCCCCGGTCCCCACTCTGGGCTCTTACCCCTCATGCCAGCTACCTCTCTTGCGAGGGAAGAAGAACATTGGAAAAGAGCCTGGGCACTGGACTCTTTGCCCAGCAACTTCTCCAGCGAGATGTGAATTAATTCCAGAGGTTGTCCAGCTCAGCACTGTCTAATAGCATTTTCTGCACCAATGGCAACGTCCAATCAGTGACATCCAACAGGACAGTCAATGGTGCATTCGGTACGTGTCAAGTGGGACCAAAGAATGACATTTCTGGTTGTATGGGATTTTAATTTCAACAGTCACCTGTGGTTGGCGGCTGCTGGATTGGCCTGCACCGCTCTAGGGGAACCACCTACGTATCATGGAGGCTGGAAACAAGACAATGGCAGCTCCCCTGTGCTCTGTCTTCACTAGTGTAGTCACACTGACCTCACGTGCTCTCGTGCTCTCTGCGTGCACAACTCAACAGGTGAGGAAACTGAGTACCAAGTCAATATGGCTCAGTAGTTAAGAAGTCACCCTGCTTCAGAACTCCTTGCTTATTCTACTTCCTGCTGTGTGGCCACGAGCGAGTGCTTCATTTCACTGTGCCTCAGTTTCCTCCTCTGCTGAGTAGGTGTTATAATTACGCTGACCCCATCAGGTTTTTGCAAAGGTTCAGTTAATTGACACATCTAAAAGCCCTTGGTCCAGGGTCTGGCACACAGTAAGCATTCAAAAGATTTGTGTTTATTAGCATAAAATTTGTGCCAGGACTCTCTTTGGGGCTGGGGCTACAACAGTGAACCCAACAGGTATTGATTGATACTCACTCTCAGAGTCCCAGGTTAGTATGAGGCTGCTTATTAAGCTGTAGCATCTCGCTAGTCAAGGAAGCCCAAAGAGAGCATGTAAAGGGGTCATGGCTTGGGCTTCATGATGAAGAGAATGAATGGGAACCACACCATCACGTGAGGATGGGGTGCTGGTGTGGGTGGTGAGCTGGTCCTGGCTAATTAATTGTTCTTCATTGTCTCCTTGATCCAGTCCACGTATTTGCACACCTTCGTGTAGACACCAGGCTTTCTGGTGATAGCACATGGGTCCTGGCCCCAGGATATAATGCCTTGAAGAGACCCGTTACAGACCAGAGGACCTCCAGAGTCGCCCTGTGGGTGGGGAGAGAGAAAACTAGTCAGAGAGGATGCGGGCTGTGGGAGGGGGACGATGTTGGGCATGGCATTAGGCAGGAGGTGGGGTTAGCGTTGGGAGTGTGGTGAACGTTGAGGGGTGGATCGGAGGTGAGGCTGCAGTTATGGGTAGGAGCCAATATGGGGTTAGGGTTGAAAATGGTTAGGGGGATAGGTTAGGGTTGGGATGAGATTGTGGAGGTGGGTGAAAACACAGTCGAGGTTGGAGACCCAGGCCCCGCCCTCTCACCTGGCAGGAGTCCTTGCCGGACTGCCGGACACCTGCACACACCATGGTGTTTGTGATGTTGCCAGGGTAGGCGTTCTCACAGTCCTTGTGGTCGATGATGGTGATGTTGGCGCAGCGCAAGGTGTGGGGCAGGTGCACTGTGGAAACGTCAGCAAGGGGTGTGGAGACTGCCAGCCTCCTGGCTCTGCTCCCTCTCCCCAGAGCTGGTTCTGCACCCCGCACCCACCCGGGGCCTTGCCCTGAATCCGGTCCCGTGTTCACGTACGGCCAGCTCATCTCTCTTGCTTGTAACAACAGCTATAGAGTAAGTTCTCAGTTGCTCTATAAGCATTATCTCCCATTCAGCCCCATTAGGTGGGCGTGGTTAAGGCTCATTTTAAGGAGAAGAAAACCGAGGTTGAGAGAGGTGAAGCCTCTTGGCTAAGGTCTTACGGCAGCAGGTATGGACCTGGGACCGCACTTCCCGTCTGTATGACTCCGAGGCCCACACTTGGGTCTCCACCGCCTGCGCCGCCCCGGCCCTTTCCATCCCCCCTTTCAACGTATCCTACTCCTGACACCCCCGTGCAGCCCCCTCTTTTAACACTAGGACTCACTTCAGGGTTCCCTCCACCCTCCCACAATCACGGCCCCCTGCCCCCACCACGCCCCCACCCGGTGGAGCTCCTACACTGGGGGCTGGACGTGCTGCCCCAGCCAGAAATGAGGCAGCTGGTGCCCGGAGAGACGCAGTGGGACGACAGGGTGAGGGGCCGCACGGCCCAGGTGATGAAGGCTGGCGCCGCCATCTTCACCAGCATGATGTCGTTGCGGTGGTCTTTGTTGGGCACGCTGTCGTTGAAGTCTGGGTGCGGGAAGGACTCCGTGGCGACGCGGATCTGCGTGTAGCGGTCCCGCTGGTGGATGTTGTGCTTCCCCAGGTGAACTGTGTATTGGCTGAGGTGGGAGAGGCCATTGGTCAGAGGTGCAAGGGTTGGGGGGAGACAGGGGGTGGGGCGAGAGGCAGTGGGGGAGGGGGAGACCTGAGTGCACGGGAGGGAATGAAGGGTCACACCTCCACTTCCAACCTCACCCCTGGCTCCCACTGAAACCCCTTCCTAGCTACACCCCAACCCAACACGCAGCCCCGCACCCAGTCCCAACGTCCTCCATGCTTCCTCCTCAACCCCAAGCGGCCCCCCACCATCAGTGCTAACCCCACCCCACTTTTCTCACCCCAACCACATTCTCCCCATCCCCAAGCCTCTTTCCCTCCATCTCCCCGTCTCCAGCCCCCTCCCGGCCCCGCCCCAGCCCCCGCACCCACGGCTTGCGGCAGTGGGCAGCAGTCAGGACCCATTTACGGGCGATGAGCGTCGCTCCGCACAGCAGCCGTGTGTTCTGGAAGAGAGCCACCTGCCAGGGCTGAGAGTGAGGGAGACACTCGTGCCCCTGGATGATCCTGGTCTCTCCCCCTACATGCCCTGCAGAGGGTGGGGGCACAAGAGGGGGCTCAGGCATGAGAGGACTCCCAGGAGAGAGGGGGTGAGTGTCTGTGCTGGGGCCTGGGGTCCCGCTGGGATGCACTGTGTGGACGGGCCAGATGATAGATGTCTGAAATCCTTCCATCACGGCTGGCCACTAGCCACTGTCCTGAGCTCTTTGAATACCCCCCCTACCACCACCACCACCACTCCAGCCCGGGAGCCCTGGTCCCTCCCCTGGGACTCTCATTGACCTCTCCCCCTTCTAGCACCTGAAGGGCTTCCACCATAAAGGAAGGACACATTATGACCCATACATCCATTCAGATGCCATCTGGGTTACTCTGTATTTTGAATATGAGCCCTGTCCATGTCCAGAATGAGAGGGCTGGGGGATTCTAGAGGTCGCAGAGGGAGGGAGGCCCATGCCCTTCCCCTTCACCGCCCCACCCCCCGTACCTGGCACCAGCAAGTATGATTAATCGCCCACTGTACCTGTCACCAGTGCAAGTATGATTAATCGCAGAATCGTCATGGCCTGGAGGGGGAGAGGGCAGGCCCCAGGGTCTTCTGAGAACAAGGAGGTACAAGGGGCCGAGTCACTTTATGGGGAGACTATGGCGGACTGGGTCATGCCCTTTCCTCTCTCCCTCCGACTATCCCCAGGGAGAAATTGCAGGCCTGGAAGAATCCCCTCATTCTTACAGCGCCCCAACCTCCAAAACCTTACAGTGAATCTTTGGTAGGGAGGGTGGCCTAGGGGCCTGGTCTCAGCTGGAAGCTTCTCATATCCAAGGAGGATGTGGAAAAGGCTGGGAGAGGCTGTGGCTGGGGCAGGTGATGGGCTGGCCCTGTTTTAAGTCGGCCACTGAAACTCTGAGATTCATTCTGCAGAATGCTTTTCTCTCCTTGCCCACCTGAGACCTGGCCAGGCTCCAGCAGCTCAGGGCAGAACAATAAAGGGGACTGGCACCATGTAGCAACCACCCAGGGGGATATGGGCCCTTCAGAGGTTCCCCAGGGTGCAGAGGGGGCTCTGCCTGGGATGGTGTTTTGGACTTCGCCCTGCTGAACCCTTGTGTCTTGGAAGGACAACTGGACAGAACTGGGACGGAGGGGCTGGTCACAGGAAGAGTCAGTGCCCTCAGCTACCCTGGCCAGCAGGGGTGGAGGTGGAGGGCTGAACTCAGTGACAGAAGCTGGAGTCAGAGGTCACTGAGGTTGGGGGCAGCCGATTGGAGGGGCAGAGAGAAAGGGATAGCCCCCACCCGAGCCTAGAAGGACAGAGCCGAGGGAGAAATGGTGCTGAGGCCCAGGAGGCCTGGTGCTGTCTGTCTGGTGCCGCCTGGGGGGGGCGGGGGGAACCTCCCCTTCCCTCCCAGACTCACGGGCTCTGGGGCTGGGGCTCCGGGGCCCACGGTGGTGGTGGTGGCAGCTGCGGCAGGCTGGGGCAGGCTGGGCTGGAGTGCAAGGCACCAGGCAGGCAGGCGGGAGGGGGGTGGCCCATGGTGACTGGGCCTCCCAGCCCTGCCTTATTGCCCCGGGGGCGGGGTGTATGTGGGGGCCCTCCCCAGACGGGCCTCAGAGGCAATGCCGCCCTCTCACCGCCTGCCCGCCTGTGTCATCTCTCCAAGCCCCTCTCCTCTCTGCTTCTCTTGGTTTCTCCCGTCCACACATCTGTTTGCATCTGCCCTGTCACTCCAAATCTCTCTCTTCATCTGTCATTCCCCTCCTTTCTGTAACTCTGCGTGCATATCATTTTTGTGCCTTGGTGTGGCTGTGCCTTTCTGTCTTCGTCTACCTCTGTTTTTATCTCCCACGCTTTCTTATTCTTCTGGGTGTCTATCTTTGCCTCCCTCTCTCCCTCCAGCTGTCTTTTTCTCTCTCTCCCTGTCTCTAAAACCCTCTTCTCTTCCCTCATCTCCTCCTGTGCCTGCCCCTCCTTCCCCACAGCCTGAGCCCAGGTGGGCCCCTGGCCTCCTTTGGGCCCCTCCCTTCTCCATTCCAAGGTGGAGCTGCTGCCAGGCGAAGGGGCAGGACAGCAGGGTGGGGGAGACAGGTTGGGGCCTGTGGGAGTTGAAGCCTGAGAGTGGGAAATCAGGGCTGCTCTGCAGACCCTTCCCTCTGCTCCTCTCTCCCCGCTCCCACTCCACCAGGAACCCCAGGGTCCTTGGATTGCAGCAACGGCACTTACTCGCTGTGTGACCCGGGTCCGGTGACTTCCCAAATTCGAGCCACCTCATTTTCCTCGTCTGCAAGCTCGAGGGACAATCCCTATTTCTCCTGGCTTGTTATCGATTAGATCTTGTCGTCTTGCCTTCTTCTCTCCCCTAACCGGATGCAGAGCAGGCCTGCCGGGTAGGCCTGGCTTCTGGCAGCAGCCAGGCCGGGCCCCAAACCTCAGCTCTGTCTCTTCCTACCTTGATGACGTAGGACAAGGGACTCCACCCAAGTGAGGCTCAGTTTCTTCATCTGTGACAGGGGGTGACAGCCCTGCCTCGGGAGGTTGGGACGAGGACTTCGGAAGAGTTGAGGATAGTAGGTGCTCAGCGGAAGTTCCCCCAGCTGTCATGACTACACCTCAAATTCCGCTTCCACTCGCTGGGGAGAAGTTCTCTTCCCACCTCCAGGAGAGGTGGTGGAGATGGACCCCAAGGGTGTGGGCAGGACAATTCTAAGAGGTAGGCTGGGCCCTCTTGCCTTCCCAGGGCTGCACCCCACCCTCTGTCATCGCAAGCATAAAAACGAACCCACATTAACTTTAATGTATGCTCAACTCCAGCAGAACCAAGTCGCCATTGGCTCCATGGCGGAATGTTACATTTTACAGACATTTAATTAAATGGTCATGAATTTCGATTTCACATGTTGTCATTTGGTATCTTGCAGCCAATAATTTTTTCCACCTTCAGGTCCTTATGAGCCCTTGAAAAGCTCTGGGTTGCTGTTCTCATTGTGTCAGATGAAGAAAAGTGCAACCCCCCCTTTTTTTTTTATAAATAACTTTTTTTAGTCCATGTCTGTGTGGCCCCCAAGGGAAAGCCCTCACCCCCTCTGATTCATATTCCTACACCTGGGAGTAGGGGAACTGATGAACCTTCCCCCTTCATTCTCAACCAGCACAAGAATACCACATAGACATCACCCATTCTCAAGCTATATTTATTCCAAATAGTCACATACTCCCTCCTCCCAGAACCAGGGGTCTTAGAAGGGCTGGCTGGAGTTGGAGTTCCAGGAAGAATATCCTCAGACCAAGACAAGTGAGAGCTGGGGCTGACGGTGGAGAAGGTGCTGGAGCTCTGGGGGTCCCAGTGGCCCCCAAGCTGGGGGTGGAGGTAGAAGAGCAGGTCAGTTGTTCTGTATGACTCTCTGTATCCAGTTCACATATTTGCAAATATTGGTATAGACTCCCGGGATGCCTCCTTGCCCGCAAGGCCCCACGGACCCCCAGGACACCAGACCCTGAAGGACGCCTCCACACACCAGGGGGCCACCAGAGTCGCCCTGAAAGAAAAGGGGAAAGGAGCCTGGCCTGAATAGGGAGAAATCTTGTTCCCATTTCCCCCTCCCAAGCCCGTTTCTGGGCCTGAGGACAGGGGCTCCAAGCCTTGTCATCAGAGAAAGAGCACAGCCAGGTTCCAGAAAGACAACAGCAGCGACTGCACAGTAGAGAACAAACCCTAGGAGCCAAACCCAAGGAAGAAGGGCGGCACTCTGCAAAAGGTAGAGAGGTCCCTCAAGGACAATGGCTTTGGCTCTGATCAATGAGGGAAGAGGACACCATCACCAACAACCAATCCCAGAGAAGGAGGGTGGGGCTTCACAAAGGGTTGAGAGGTCCCTCAAGGACAATGGCTGGGACCCTGACCAATGAGGGTTGAAAGCACAGGCACCAATAAACAATCCCAGCAAATGAGGGCGGGATTCCCTAAGAGTTCTCTGCCGAATGATAGCTGGGGCCCTGGCCAGACCAGTGAGGCAGGCCTCCTCTCTGGAGAACCCAAGAGGGCAAGGTAGCAGAATTTGAGGCTGAGAGAGCTCTCCAGCCCCCTTTGCTGCCTCCATCCTGAAATATCTCCCTGGGGCCAGTATCAACTGGAGGATGGTAGGGGGAAGACTCAGAACTGGAGAGGCAGTAGTTTACCTGTCTGAGCTCCAGGTGCCCTGCCGGCTGGTGCTTTGCCCTTCCCCATCTCCCTCTCCTCTCTCTGCCCACCCTCCCTCTCTTTGTCCTCCATTCCCTGGCTCTTCTTCCTGCTCTCTCTCCCTCCTTCATTCTGTGCCTCTCCTTCTTTCTGACCTCAGCTTTCTCCCTCACCCCCTTTCTCTGAGTTACCCCTCCCCCCACTTCCTCTTCTTTGTCCCCTATCTGCCTGTCCTGGGTGCCCATGCATTACCTGGCAGGCATCCTCCCCCGGGACACCGCCTGCACACACCATGTTGTCTGTGATTCTCCCAGGGTACACGGCTCGGCAGGTGGCAGCAGAGACGATGGAGATATTGAGGCATTGGAGCAGGTCTGGGAAGGGGTCTGGGGGTGGAAGATGGATGCTGTAGTTCCCCCCAACAGCTCCCCGCTTTGCAGCCACACCCCTCCTCTCTAGGAAGCTCAGTCCAAGGCTCTAACCCATCCCCTCCCTGCGACCTCCATTACAACCCTCAAACCTCCAAATTTTGGATTTATGACTTGATTTCATAGTGACCCTTGACCCCAGTCCTGTTATTAACCTCTAACTTTGAGGGCTGTAACTCTAGACCCTCCTTGTCTCTCCAACCTCAGATATGGTGAATGCAGACCTGACCTCCTGACCTTCAGTCTCAGCTATCATGACCTTCAACCTTCAGTCTTGTCATCCTTTGATTATGAGTTGACCTCATGTCTTCTCTCTCCTAACCCCATATTTCTTCTCTTCACCTTGAGTTCCAACCTCAGTTCCGCACCCTCTAAACCCTTGGTCCCTACTCCAAAGTGACCTCTGATCCTAGTTTATTTGAACCTCAACTGTGTGACCCCTAACCTCTGGCTCCACACCCCAAACACTATGGCTTCCCCCAATTTCCATCCTTAGGTTGTGGTCAGCTTTTGCAACATGTGTATCCTATGACCTCAACTCTTCAATGACCTTGACCACCAGAGTCCATGACCCATGACCCCATGATCCTGTTTATATACGCCTTTTGCTCTAGCCTGATGATGCTTGATGGCATTCTGACCTTTAAGGACATCCTTGACCCATGACTTCTGACTCCATATTCAACTCCTTAACCACTTGGACTCCCAAGACCTGATCCACCACTATCTTTGGCCCTAGACTGCAATCCTGATGTTCGAACATTTACCCAACCTTCCTCTGACATGGTGTTACTCCTGACCTCTCACTCTCCACCCAGATTTTGCCCATCCTGATCCCTAAGCCCAGGGCCCCCTTACTCCATGGTTGGTTGGTGGTGCCCCAGCCCGAGATGTGGCACTGAGTGCCAGGTGCTGCACAGCTGGTGGGAAGGGCCAGGGGCTGGACGCTGCGGGTCAGGAGGACCGGAGTGCCCAGTCTCAGCAGCCGCAGGTCATGCTCATGATTCCTCTGGCTGCCCTGGTAGTCAGGGTAGGTGACGGAGAAGCCGCTGCGCCGGATCTGCTCCGTCCAGTCCAGGCGACTGAGGCTGTGCTCCCCCAGGCGCACCCAGTACCTGCTGGGGGTTGTGTTGGCTCGGCGGGTGGACCGCACCCAGGCTCCCAGGCCCTCCTGCCTCTCTCTCACGTCCCCTGATCATTGGCTCTCGTTCTCTGTCTCGGGTGCCCTCTCTCTACCTCTTGGTCTTTGTCTCCATCGCCCAGTGCTCCCCAGGGCACTGCACTGGGTCCCCTTCTGATTCTCTCAGCTGGGGAGGCCCACGGGGGTAGGGGCATTGTTTAGTCTCCTTTGCTGTGCTGTTCCCACCACCCAGGAGCCTGCCTGGGCTGTCAATCTTGCTGATAAAGTTAATGCTCTTCTGTCCTGCTTGAATTTCTCCCTGTCCCCACACCTCTCCATCTCTTTGTGTCTGAAACTTTCCTTTCTTGTGAAATCCAGAGTATCAGACCTACAAAGCCCATTGCTGTCTTGTTACAGATGGGGCCACTGAGGCTGCACAGAGTTTGGGTCAGGCATGAGCCCGGGACCCAACCTGGGTCAGAGAATGGCTGGGGATTGGTGACAGATGCTGTATAGGAAGGGAGTGGAATTTGAAAGAATGGGAGGTGGGTAGGCAGGTTCTAGGACCCTCCGCCTGCCCTCCACCCCACTGAGCCCCAGCCAGCCCCACCCCAGGCTCATATTTTGAGAAGGTCCTACCCTTTGCCTAACCTCAGAGTCTCTTCTGGCAGAACCATCATCTCCTTCCTCTTAGACACTCCCTCTCATGAGCCCCGCCCCCAGCTCTCTCCTCCCAACCCCCATCTTCGCCCACTCCAGCAAGAGACACAAACAGGGGGCTTACCTGCCGCTGCAGTGAGCAGCTGTGAGGACCCACCTGCGGTCCACGAGGACCCCCCCACAGCGCAGGTTGGCGCCTTCAAACAGCCCCACCTGCCAAGGTTGTGAGTGAGGAACACACTCTGTGCCATTATAAATCTTCTCTGTGGATGCGTGGCTGAGCCCTGAGGACAGGGGTAGGGGCCAGAGAGGTGAGGTCAGAGACTGTGGATCAGATACAGAAACACATCCAGAGTTGGAGAGGCATAGAAAGAGAAAGAAGCGATAGGAAGACAGAGATCCTGAGAGAGAGAGCCAAGCACAGGGAGACACCTAGTGATGTAAAGAAAAAGATACAGTGTAACCCCAAGAGATACAGTGAGGAAGAGAAAGAGGGAAACAGAAAGAGAGAGATGCTTGAAGACAGAGAGGAGAAAGCAAGAGCAGGAGAGAGGGAGAGAGAGAGAGAGAATGGAGACACAGTGACAGGGGGAGATAGGAGGTGGATCAAAAGATACAGGGAGAGGCGAGGGGACCCTGGGCTTTGGAGGTGAAGGAGATGAGTGTCCCTTCATGGGGGAGGGAGGGACACCTCTTCCCTCTGAGGAACTCACCAATAACACACAGGAGCCAAAAGATGCTGGACCCCATGGTGGGCCACCTCCAGGTTCTGGGGAACAGGTTGGGGGGGTGGTTCTCAGAGATGGCCCTCTTCTTTTCAGCCCGCTCCTCCCTTCCTCATCCTTCTCATATCAGCTCCACGAAGAGGGGATGTCCTCCCCTCTACCTCCCATTGTCTTTGCCTGTCTCCCGGCCCATCACCCCCTCACCTGTGACTGCCTGCCTCCTGCT